ACGATGAATAACAGGCGTAATGAAGTAAGTAAGTAAGTAATTGATTAAGTGTGTAAGTAGGTAAGTAAACGAATGTCTTGTTTTTGTCGACATAGCTCAACTTTTAGTGTAAATTGAGTCCATTGTTATCTTTAAATCTACTATTAGCCTTTTAGTAACCTAGCATTGAAATAAACTCAACGATTTAAGTTTAAATAATTCCAAATTTTCGTTCAGCAAACTTGTCAGAACGTCTTTATGGTAATAATGAAAATCTAGATTATCAAAGAAATATATAGCGTTTAACAATCAAATCAGATCAAATCTACACTGTGTTAATCCAATCATAATTGGATGTTGTCATGGTTAATATAACAGCATGGGTCAGTTAAATGCAAATCATGTGGAAAGTTCACAGTGTGGAAATAAATTACTGAACGAATTGTGTGTATATATGTATGTGCAAGATTGAGTTATTCATAGGTGAAAAGTTCTACGAAATAAACTCTTTAATGTCATGATTTCTATCCTATTCTTACTTAATTATTGTCTTTTTCATACTGAAAATAATGTTAAACCTGAATTAAAATTATGATTCATCTGATTATAGTTAGGATAATTACTGAACATCAATGATAATGGAAACCAGTATAAGGAGTCAGATCACCAATTAATATATATAATTTCATAGGTTGAAATCATGAGTCGATTGAAGCTAGACTTTAGTATAGGCCCGTGGTTTGATTTTGTCCTCATAGAGTCGTATCCCTTTTTGGTCATGAAGCCAAGAATGGTTTGTGTGGTTTGAGGGAGATGCGCTCGATCTCGTTTGTTACAAAACCGTACCGGAAGTTAGAATAAGGTATATGGGCTTGCCATAATAGCTGACACTACATAGCCCCCTTGTAGAAAATAGCACATTTAAAAAATGTCTGTTTTCGAAAATAACACTGAAGTGATATGATGTTAACGCTAACACTAAGTAGCCAAAAAATTGTACAACACTCAATAAAATACAGTGTCACATGAGGGGTGAGTGTATTATATGAAAATGTCATACTTATGCAAAAGAATACATGAATATAGAAAAGACGCGGACAAAAGTGAAAATGTTAGCATGTGAATATGAGCAAATTAATGAGCGTACAAAAAAATTAACATCTACCAATTCTATGACTGTCTGAACGATAAAATAACATGTTTGTATGAGTGATTCAAAGTATCGTGAAAACAGTAATAAATTTTTTGTAGGTATAACAGCGAAATAAGTCGTCAAAATGGCTAGAGTAGAATATGACAGAAATTGGTCTGTGATGCTGACGAAATAGTGAAATATGCGAAATATATGTTCTGTTGAGCCGCAGCAGAATAAATCGCATTGACTAGTGATGAGTGAATTCGAATTTAAATGCGTAGGATGATAATAGGAAAGTCGTGAAATGATATCTGCATCGACGGGTGATATTCGTTGCTGTACTGCAATTGATAATCATAAAATTTGAAGTCAGTGGACGTTGTCGTCTGCGTTATGACAGATGCATCGAGTTATCGTTGAATATGTATTAGTAGAATGACCAGAGGAACAGAATAGTGACTGAGTAGACGAGGTACATAGAGTCGTATCCCTTTTTGGTCATGAAGCCTAGGATGGTTTGTGTGGTTTGAGGGAGATGCGCTCGATCTCGTTTGTTACAAAACCGTACCAAGGCATGACAAAAATACCAATACATATGATTAGCGATGGCGACTTATGAGACTGACTTGGATGTAACGAACACGAGTGTATCTTTGAGAGACTAGCTCTAAACTCTATGTTCTGGTATACCGTGCGATGGGTATAGAATAGTAATTGCAGTACTCGAATAGCGTTTTTGAGTGGTAAGTGATGCAGAATGTAGTTACGCACGTGGAAGAATAGATAAAATGAGCGTAATGGTTACTAATCAGCTAGTCAGAAGCATCCACAGACATAATAGGAGGCGATTTCGAAATGAAAAATGTATGTTGTGATAACATAAAATAATGACCTCGACTAAGTGAATGAATGCAATATTAGATCAAAATGACATGAAAAATTGGAACGAACTCACTTAAAGCAGGAAAACTTCACGTTTTTGAATAGAAATATTCCAATGAGATTTAGATGTCATTATGCAGAGTGGAATTTTCATAAAATGATAATTTGTTCAGTGAGTGATATGATTGCGAAAATTTCATAAGTTAATGACAGCACGAACAAGATTAATAATTCCACATTCGGTCATGATATTGATAATAATGTAATAATAAGCATATAATGATAATTTGAATCGTAATGGAACAATCCGAAAAATGTATCAATGAGGATAATTGACATGAGGACAAAGTATCGATAAGATAATACGACTTGAGCATGTCCATGTCATGTTGCACAGGCTGTGCTGATTGCGTCGGATTGGAGATTGCGCTGGCTTCGCTGAATTTGGTCGTCGAACGTATAGAGTGCAGAAGTTCCTTCATCGACGTAGCTTGCTGCGTTGCGTTCGTCGTCGGCGGGCTTACCAATGTTGTGGCCCGTTGATCTGACTCCTATTTAGATCGTATAAATGTTTGCTATCGCTGATTCTCGTATATCATCGTCGACTTAAATCGCGTTAGTCAATAACGAAATTAAATAAGTCAATCAACGAGAATGGCATTTGAATACATATATTTTGTATGTAAAGTGAATGCGATAGAACAAAACGAAATGACGCGCAGGGAAGATGGCTGGGAAGCCAACTCCATTTTAGTCACGTGTTACTCCATATTTATAGTCAGACAAAACAAGCTACAGACATACAATGAATCATGGGACATGAAGTGTACACTCATATACGCTCATATAAAAAACAGTCAAGACTGACAAGCGAATAATTGACAAGGTCAAAATATGGCTCAAGTAAAATGAATAAAATAGGATGTCCGGAAGTTAGAATAAGGTATATGGGCTTGCCATAATAACTGACACTACAAGACCACCATGGAAAACCTGAAAGCACTTGACGGCAATTTCGCCCTAGTATGGTACTCCCCAGCAGTGCGCATCCATGATCCCGCACCACGTGGGGTTCAAACCCAGGACCTACTGGTTTCGCGCGTGAGCACTTAACCACTAGACCACTGAGCCGGCATCTAACGGTGTTAATGTCTAACTTCAACTAATCCACGAAGTTGCGCCACCGTACACCACTGTCTTCAGTGAGTTGTTATTTCACAACAGACCTGGTTGAACTCCACTGGTAATTACTTCTCACAAGAACTCCAGGAGTTTTTCTTGAAGTCAGTCACTAGTGAGCAGTTTATTATTATCAGAATGGGTTTTCCATTGTGGTTTAGCTTCAACTGACTCATGATTTCAACCTATGAAATTTCTAAAATCTCTCCACAAAACCCATTCTGATAATATATATTGTTGTTTAAATACAAAATGTGAATTTAACAGTAACAATGTAGACCACTAATAATCTCCAGAAATGACGGATGTTTTTCAAAATTAGTGTTTGTTTACTGAATAACTGATGCATTTTACTTTTTTAATCGGTAAGTAACGTAATAGTTTTACAATAATTATTGCTATTCAGTTAAACATCTTGATATTTATCTTCTGTACACTACTTTTCCCTACTGAACTTTTAAGTTGATGATGCTTCAAAACATTTCAAAGAACTCAATGAAAGCTGTATGAAAATAAAATTAGTTATTAGAAGTATCTACATTTACAAACAGGTTTTTATGATTATCACATAGTTATCTACTTATGAAGTTGGAATCAACTTCGAAATTTATTAACTAGTACTTTAGTGAACGAGAACACATATGAGAACAATCAAATGTACAAACTTAGAGAACGTTTTGGTAAAATCTAAGAACCATACGGTAAATACTTTATTTGCAAAATGTCAATCAAACGTGTCAAATTTCATTGTTATTTCGTTTCCACACCAATCATTCTCTGTTCTCGTTCTCTTTTCTTCAATCTACTTAACCTTCACTTTAAATTGATGATACATACTACTTATATCTGTCGATATTAGTAGGACACACCACAGAATTTATGTCTGAAGTACATAAATCTAAAATGATGAGATTAATATTGGTTTTTATGTAATCAACTAGCTATTGTCGAATTCATTAGATAATTAGGATAATATTGATATACCCATGAATAAGGTATATTTTTAGTTGTTTTCCTTTATATTTACAAAAACACTACAATGATAAAAATAATCACAATACATAACCAATATCATCAAACAATCCAACATTAAAGAATATCCTATAAATTATTGAGATATTATTGGGATATTCAGAAATATATCCCAAAAATCATCCTGTTAAGTCTAATGCTATCCTTGAACGTGACATGGTGTCATTTTCCTATTGGCAAATATTTATTTCACGTGCCATTTTCCTGTTGGCCAAATATTGTACAAATGTTATTTTCTATTTTATGGTACGATGTGGTCTGCTTGATTGGTCTATAAAAACAGAGTATGTTTGAAATACAGGATTCATATCGCAGAGGCTGAGACTCGTGTTCTGGACTTAACTGGCTGGGCTAGACAAGAAACAGGGCCAATCAGGACTCTAGACTGCTTGCACGTGTTTTACGCGTCATTTATACGATCGATAAGTCACTGCTCCCTAATTGGCGGTCACAAGTCATAACAGATATAAACACAATTTATTAGAAATATTTTTTTTATTTGTTCAATAAATAAGCTTTGAATACTGTACAAGTTATTGTCATCAAAATATCTTGATAACAAGAATGTTATATTAAGATACCATATACAAATAACATCTCCATAGAAAACATCTGATAAATAGTGTTGATAAAATCAATATATGAATAACCGAAAACACAATTTCTAACTTTTATCAAGTTTATAAATTTCAGCTAAGTAATTTTAAATAGTCAGTTATATGTACAATATCTTCAATCAGAAATTCTAGATCTTTGTACTATTTTCATTCAATGGTCTTTTAAAATAATCTAAAAAAATATATTTTTTACATTTTGGATCTTTTCCTTTTAAACTAACTACACATCTAAATTCGAACTTCTTTGTAAATTCATAACCGATTTTTGAAAATCTCGAAGTTCCAAAGCTATTATAAATGTTAATTCTGCACAACCCAAAACAACGCACCATTCGCTTACTGCACTCCATACAAATTCAATATAACCCTGTATAAATACAAAAATATTATTTTATGATTATTCTAATTACAACTATGATTGTTATATATTTTCAAATTTCAAATTTAAGTTTATCATTTATCTCATAACTTTCAGCTTTACCAAAGTAAAATATTTAGACGACAGTTACTACTTTATTGTTAGAATAGTATTATTTTGAAGTAATGGAATCGCCTGGTCTATGTAGGATAATTGTGAAGTTTTCACTTTCATTATAAACAATAGTAACAGTGAAAGAAAATAAATGCCACACAGTTCATAGAATAAATTCTACCATCTTTGATAATCTATACATTAGACTATGTGGAAATCGCCCTCTCACGGATATATCGACACATACTATTGTTGAAAGTTCATGATATATTACCATTGATATCATTTTACACAGACAACCACGTGCATGAATTCGACTGAAAAAATTTTGAAATGCTGAATCAAATGATTTGTAATATTACCTGTGAGTTTCTAGAAACCTGACATTCAGATCAATTGCTAATCAACCGACACATTAAGATAGACGTGGCTTATCAACTTGTACAAAACGTCTCACAGTTGAATTCGCAAATTAAAGCTAGACTACCATTGAAAACCTGGAAGTACTAAACTGTCGTTTCGTCGTAGTATAGGACTTCTAAGCAGTGTGGTTTCACGATCCCGAATGTGGGATAAAAATGTTTGATCAACTACTTGCTTAAAGGTCAATCAACGAGGCTTTCAACTTTAAATACAAGGACAAATGAAGACAACGCAACCTAAAGAGATGATTAATCATGAAGAAGACCATCGGAATGAACTAATTTAACCCTTAACTTGAAAAGGACACTATTTAAATATTTGAGAAAGACTGAAAGTACTTTAACTTTTTATGTTTGTAAGCAGAAACTCAGCCTTCAGTAATAATGCCATCCTATACTTTGTCCTTATCTGACTAATTTATCAATTTTAGCAAACAAAGTTTGTGCTCTCATATATCACTTACCGATTCATAAGGTTTGATATAGAAGAAATCTTTCGCTTTTAAAACTTTAAGTCCAATCATATTGAAATGTACAACTGATAAATGAAAAATATAAGTTAACATTTTTAAAATAAACAATGACACATTTATAATTAGATACATTCTATCAGCTGAATAACCTGATAAACAAAAGAAAAATTTCGTTATATATGTCTACAACCCTATATGTCAATATAAATATTTGACAGATCATAAGTCAATTAAAGCTGGACCACCATGGAAAACCTGGAAGCATTGGACGGCCGTTTCGTCCTAGTATGGGACTCCTCAGCAGTACGCGTCCACGATCCCGCACCCCGCGAGAATCGAACCTAGGACCTATCAACTTTTAAGTTGCCTAGAAAATCTACTCAACACTTTGTTTTTATGGTGACATAAAGTATTTTAATCTAAAAAAACAATTATTCTATTTTCAGAAAGGGTTTTGTGGATATTATAATAACTTTAATAGTTGAGATCTTAAGTCAATTGAAGCTAAATCAATTTCACTCAATTTCGTGGATTAGTTGAAGTTGGACATTAACACCGTTGGATGCCGGACGGCTCAGTAATCTAATGGTTAAGCTGGTTCGAATCTCGAGAGACGGGATCGTGGATGCGTACTGCTGAGGAGTCCCACAATGGGACGAAACGGCCGTCCAGTGCTTCTAGGTTTTCTATGGTGGTCTAGCTTCAATGACTCATGATTTCAGTCTGTGAAATTTCTAAAATCTCCACAATCCCCTTCTGACAATATAAATATTCTCAATGCTTGTAGAATATAAAATCATTTACTTAAAATGATTTCATATTTACTGTTTCTATCGGGAATCGTAAAGATATACTTGATTTATTAGTGGTAACAAGTATTTACACTTTATGACTGTTATCATTATGAAACAAAACTAAACTTCTGCTTTTTGTAACCCATGCAAGATTCAAACTATCAAATTGATTAAAGCTATTTTTATTGTGATTTCTCATAAACAAACTCATAGGAACTTCAACCTCGTGTTGTTACATTATTGAAGATAGCTCCCTTGAACAAAAAAGCTGTATAAACGATGAAATATTCAGAATAGGAATTATTTGTTACTGTCATACAAGATCTGTGTATTATATACAATGACTGATCGGTAAGGATTCTTAGTTATCAACATACCTAAATAAGATGAGTTAATGAATTATTGGGACCTAAGGTCCCGATAAACACATTGAATAAACATTCACAGTTTGTTAAGCTTTTCCATCACTGATTCACTGTTTATTTTAAGCATTTACTATGTTCTATAGCCATTTTTAACAGTGGTTTCAATGGTTCAATAGTGCATTATCTATATTATCTTTTTCCTAACTATGAAGTCATAAACGCTGTTTCGGAATATCGTACTCTAAATTATTCACATTAGTAGTATTGTCTTTTAAAGGAAATCATAATCTACAATCTGCTTGTTAAAGAAACATGCTTAATATTAAGAAGGGAGACAATCATTTGTTGTAGTTCAAAAACTAATCAACCTATCAATAATGTAACCAGGTTTACACTGAGTATTTATGCCTTGAAGTTAAAAAATTACTAACTCGCTTCGGGTGCGTTGAAATTATTAATTATGATTGTTAATTTTACATATGATAATTTACATATGATAACTTTAGTACCGTATTATAGTAAATCAACATTGAAATAACAAGTATAACAAGTAATAAAAGAGAATAAGGTGTCTCAAAATACTAAAGTATATGTCTCAACTTCATTGTAATATCATGTATATCAGTTATTTAAGGTGTAAATACTTTATGAATCATTGTAACGGCACTTTGCTTAATAATGTTTCCTTTCTGAAATATCAGAATTTTTCTTGAGACATTAACATATAATTTATTTCAATAGATGAGATCATGAGTCAGTTGAAGCTAGACCACCATGGAAGACCTAGAAGCACTGGACGGCCGTTTCCTCCTATTACGGGACACTTCGGCAGTGCTCATTCACTATCTCACTTCGCGGGATTCGAACCCAGGACCTATCAGTCTCGCGCGTGAACGCTTAACGATTAAATCACTGAGCCGTCCGGCATCCAACGATGTTAATGTCTAACTTCGACTAATCCACAAAGTTGAGCGACGCATCCATCATTGTCTTCAGTGATTTACAATCTCACAACAGACCAGGTTGGACTCCACTGGTATTTATTATCTTATGACTAGGATTATACATTTTCGTCAAATATTAGTCAAACCATATTTCATGTATTGTGAAATCTTTGAATGAATATTTTGTTTTTCTGGTAATTAAGTTATTAAAAGTTATTTAAAAGCATATTCTTTGTTTATATTTCTTTTTTATATATGTATATTGGGAATTTTCTCTAGCAGATTTATGAATGTAAATAGAATATTTTAAATAGGTCCAATATTTTCAAAGTTTAAATCTCATTAATTATCATGCAAAAACTATGTATCGAATGTAGTTGAACTTGTGTAATATTTAGTAAGAATTTTTTGTGTTTTATAAACACTCACATGAAGCAGATGCCAGTACCATTTGAATAACAACAAATAGTCTGCCAAAACAATATAATATCCATTTGTTTGAAATACAGGCGATTACAACTGCTCCACAAGGAATTGCAATAACATGACAAATAAAATTCAATAAAGTCAAATGATAATGTTCAGCGTTGTTTTCTTTTGTCTATTCAAATCATAATAAATAAATAAATTAATTAAAGTTAATAAAGTAAGAGTTTGAATAAATCTAACTGAAGTATTGGTAAATGACATCAAAGTTTTCTTGTTTCTCATAACTAGCTTTTATATGGAATCAGTTTATCAAAATTTGTTTACCGGAAAACAATTTATTCAAATTGTCATTTGTTCTGACTGAAATCACACAGTTTTCAAGTGAGAACATGAAAGTAAGTTACATAGTTTCGTCAACCAAATGATATAAACACTTACTTACTTACTTACTTTCGCCTGTTCCTCCTAATGGAGCATAGACCGCCGACCAGCATTCTCCAACCCACTCTGTCCTGGGCCTTCATTTCTAGTTCCATCCAATTCTTGTTCATTTTTCTTATGTCTATCTCCATTTCCCGGTGTAATGTGTTCTTTTGTATTCCTCTTCTCCTTCGGCCTTGAGGATTCCATGTGAAGGCTTGTCTTGTGACACAGTTGGGTGCTTTCCTCAATGTGTGTCCTACCCACTTCCAGCGCTTCATCCTGATTTCTTCCTCTGCAGGGATCTGCTTTGTTCTCTCCCACAGTACGTTGTTGCTAATAGTGTCTGGCCAACGGATCCGAAGTATTTTGCGTAGACAACTGTTAACAAACACCTGTATTTTCTGGTTAATGGCTTTCGTAGTTCTCCAGGTTTCTACCCCATACAGTAGAACTGTTTTGACATTTGTATTGAAAATCCTGACCTTGGTGTTGGTTGACAGTTGCCTTGAGTCCCAGATGTTCTTCAGTTGTAAATATGCTGCTCTTGTTTTGCCGATCCGCGCCTTCACATCTGCATCAGATCCACCCTGTTCATCAATGATGCTGCCCAAATATGTAAAGGTTATCACATCTTCCAACTCTTCTCCGTCAAGTGTGATTGGGTTGGTGCGTTCTGTGTTGTATCGGAGAACCTTGCTTTTCCCTTTGTGTATATTGAGACCTACTGCTGCTGAGGCTGCTGCTACACTGGTCGTTTTCTTCTGTATTTCTTGTTGCGTTTGGGATAGAAAGGCCAAATCATCTGCGAAGTCTAGATCGTCTAACTGCATCCTAGAAGTCCACTGTATCCCGTGTTTCCCTTCAGATGTTGACGTCTTCATGATTCAGTCGATCACCAGGAGAAAGAGAAAGGGTGAGAGTAAGCAACCTTGCCTGACACCGGTCTTTACTTAGAACGACTTTGTCAATTTGTCCTCCATGCACGATTTTGCAGTTTAATCCATCATATGAGTTCTGTATGATATTGACTATCTTCAACAAGTTATCTATTTTTGTTTGTTTTAATATATCATTATGTCTATTCATCGCATAACCTATTCTTCTGCGTTTCTAAAAAGTGTTCAACCTTTCGTTGTCAAAATTAAAAAAGGCTCAATAAGAGAGAATGTGGTTGCTGGCAATATACAACGAAAAAAATGTACATCATTCAAATGTTCATTTACTGGACTGTTAACATCGAACTGCGATCACTCAATATTTATCGCCAGGACCGACCAGGAATAAAGAAACGGGAACCTTTTGAAATACTTTGCGCTGAGAATTCTATATTGTACCAAAAATATAATATTGAATAAAGCTAATAATAATAATAATCTTCTGAGGCACGCCGTAGTGTCGAAGAAGCTTCCATAGTGTTGTTCTGTCCACGCTATCAAATGCCTTTTCGTAGTCGATGAAATTGATGTAGAGTGATGAATTCCATTCAATTGATTGTTCCACAATGATCCGTAGAGTTGCGATTTGGTCTGTACACGATTTATCCTTACGTAATCCTGCCTGTTGGTCACGAAGTTGGGCGTCTACGCAGTCCTTCATCCTGTTTAACAATACCCTGTTGAAGACTTTTCCCGGTATTGAGAGAAGAGTGATGCCCCTGTAGTTATCACAGTTGCTGAGATCGCCTCTCTTTGATATTTTGATCAGGATTCCTTCTTTCCAGTCTTTTGGTACTTGTTCCTCATCCCAAATCTTACTGAAGAGAATGTGGACTATCCTTGCAGTTGCCGCTATGTCCGCTTTCAGTGCCTCTGCTTGAATGTTGTCCGGTCCTGCTGCTTTGCCACTCTTGATTTGTTTGACGGCCACGCTGATTTCTTCAATCGTTGGTGGGCCAACATTGATTGGGAGGTCCATGGGTGCTGCTTCGATATTGAGTGGGTTCAGTGGGGCTGGTCGATTCAAGAGTTCTTTGAAGTGTTCTACCCACCTGTTTTGTTGCTCTTCAATGTTGGTGATTACCTTGCCTTCCTTGCTTTTCACTGGTCGTTCTGGTTTACGGTGATCTCCAGACAGTCTCTTTGTTATGTCATACAGTTATCTCATGTTTCCTTCTCTTGCAGCCTTTTCCGCCGTCGTTGCTAAATCTTCCACATATTTACGTTTGTCGGTTCTGATGCTCCTCTTCACTTGTTTGTTTACTTCTGTGTATTTAGCTTCTGCCTTGGCTTTTTCTGCTCTTGTTCGGCTGGTATTGATTGCTGCTTTCTTGTTCCTTCTTTCTTGAATCTTATCCAATGTATCAACAGTGATCCATTCCTTGTGATGGTGCTTCTTGTGACCCAGGACCTCATGACATTTTGAGATGATTGCCTCTTTGATCCCCTTCCAGTTGCTCTCCACAGTAGTTCCTTCTCCATTGAGTAGATCATGAAAGGCCTGGAACTTGTTGCTGAGGACTATCTTGAATTTGTTGAGTTTGTTAGTATCCTGAAGAAAGGCCGTATTGAACTTTTGTGATATTGTCCGCCCCGTTGTGCAGTGCTTCTTGAGTTTCAATTTCATCTTGGCGACCAGCAAGTGATGATCTGATGCTATATCAGCTCCTCTATTGGTTCCCACGTCCTCATTAGTCCTCCTGAACGTTTTGTTGATGCAAATATGGTCGATTTGGTTCTGCGTAGTGTGATCCGGTGAAGTCCATGTGGCTTTGTGAATGCGTTTATGTGGGAATATGGTGCCGCCTATGACCAGCTTATTGAAGGCACATAGATTTGCGAATCTCTCACCGTTTTCGTTCCTTTCTCCCAGTCCGTGTCGTCCCATGATGTCTTCATATCCAGTGTTGTCCACTCCACCCTTGGCATTGAAATCTCCCATCAGAATAGTCAGGTCCTTTGTTGGGCACTTCTCGACGATTGACTGCAGCCTATCGTAGAATTGTAGTCGTTGGTAGGCGCATAGCATTGGATGATGTTCATTGATATACTCTCTTTCTTTATTTTGAAGTAGGCTTTGATGATCCCTGGTCCATACGATTCCCATCCTATAAGTGCATTTTGTGCTCGTTTGAACAGCATCAATGCAACTCCTTGTGTATGTGGTGCATTTTCTTCTTCATGGCCGGAGTATAACAGGAGCTCTCCTGTAGTTAGTCGTTGTTGTCCAACTTGCATCCAATGTATTTCACTGATCCCAAGCACCTCTAGGTTGTAACTCCTCATTTCTGTAGCGATATGGAAGGCTCTCCCGGTGTCCCACATTGTACGAGCATTCCATGTACCTAAACAAATGGTTGCTCTGGTTGTCAGAAGAGGCATCGGCCTCGTAACTTCCGAAGGAATTCGGCTTTCATCATGAGGCGTCATAGTTCTTCTAAACGAAGACCTTCTGACTCCCAGGGCAGAGTTTAAAAGGTGTGAATAACTTTGTCTGGTTAGCGTTTTTTTAGAGAGTTAGTTTTCTACGGGATGGGGACGCTAACCCCATGCCCAACCCTCCTCCTTTATCCGGGCTTGGGACCGGAAGTAGCCCCCGGAGGGACTCCAGGCGGAGTTGATATAAACACTAGCACAATCATAATGAATCATATCAATTAAAATAAGCTTTATTTCTAATCAAGTGATAAGGTATTTTTTGTTATTTTTATTTAGTGCAGCTTTATCCTCAAACTACTCATTGTATCTGTTCTATTAAAAAGTAAGAAAATGAGAATGGGAAAGAATAATTTAAAATACTTGAAAGCTTAAATTCACACAGTTTTGACAGTTTATTATCTCAATGGTTAAGATCATGAGCCAGTTGAGGCTAGACCACCATGGGAAACCTGCAAGCACTTAACGGCCGTTTCGTCCGATTGTGGGACTCCTCAGCAGTGCGCATCCATGACCTCGTCCCCTGCGAGATTCGAACCCAGGACCTACTGGTTTCGCGCGTGAGCACTTAACCACTAGACCACTGAGTCGGCATCCAACGGTGCTATTGTCTAACTTTAACTAATCCACAAAATTGAGCGACACATCCACCACTGTCTTCAGTGAGTTACAATCTCACAGCAGACCTGGTTGAACTCCACTGGTCACTACTTCTCTCTAGAACGTCAGGATATACCTCGAGAAACCAGTCACTAGTGAGCATATGTTGAAGAGTCCCACAATAGGACAAAACGGCCGTCCAGTGCTTTCACGTTTTCAATGGTGGTCTAGCTTCAACTGGACCATGATCTTAACCATTGAAATTACTATAATATCCACAAAACCCATCTGATATTAATTTATTATCTCTTAAATATTCTCTTTGAGTTGAGTTTTTGTACTCTGTTCTCTGAAATCAGATTTTTCTTAAAAAAACAACATTATAAATTAGATTGATATCAATACTCATAAATGAAAAGGCTGATAAACATACGTTAATAAAAGAAAGTCCGACTATACACATCCCAGCTATCGTCATAAATACCGCAACAACTACACGTAGAAAATGAAGTATTATGGATCTTCTCATTTTTCTTATTTGATCTCCAGCTTTCCAACACCAAATCCATTGACTCAAAGTAGCTGAAACACAACAAAAATGGACGTTTATTGTTTTTATCGAATAAATAAATTAGATAAATAATTTAGATAACTTGTCCTAATAACACAGAAAAACCAAAATCTTGTCTGTTATCTGCATAATAGAAACAGAAGCAAGGGTTATCGGTACAGTAGGTATTATCTCTATTTCACTCAAAGTTATTGCTTGCTATGAATAAACGCTTGTTTGAACGTCGTTTGAACTGACTGGTTAATACAGAAAGTCAAACTTTTCATTTAACAAACCAGTAATTTAGTAGACGAAATACTTAATTATACGTATCTTCTAACAAGCTTTTAATCCCATGTAAAGGCTTCATTAGGAATGTTTATGATTGGAACTTAGGTACATGTGTGAGAATCATCACTATTGTATGCATGATCACATTCAAAGTACTTTAAGAATAGATCTCAGGTCATGTCGATATCTAACGTACCTAAATTAACATTTAAATTATCATTATGTTGCGATATATAATACGGGAAACTCAAATTCAGTATGTATTGAAGAGTATTTTCTTTCAAAAATCTAAATATATTGATGACGGCAAGCAGTTCAACCTACCCATTATTCCATAACTTGACATTAGAACCATGAACATGTATTTTTCCGGTGGATAGATACCAAGTGCGCTACAAATATTATTACATAAATGCCAATTAATCTAAAACATCAGTTTAGATTGGGTTTTTTTAAAAAAATTGGAAGTGTAATTGAACAGTAAACTTGTGTTTTCTGTTGTCAAGATGTTTTCATTCAATAATTGGTTGAAACATTGTTAGCGAAGAAAACAGTAATGGTTTTCCATGCACCGAATTAATATTCAACTAATTAACTTTCAGTAGATGTAATATAGAACAGATTTACTTTGAAAATATTATGTAAATAAATTTTCCATTAAACAATCAATTTTCACGTACGAATATGCGTGGAACATTATTCAGTATCTGAAACAATCAGTTCATTTCATAAATGTCGAAAGTGTGTTGATGAGATGAAATTGGATTGCAGAAATGGGATAATCATTGATATCCTAATTAATACAGTTCTATACGTAAACTAAATAAGGTCAAATGAATAAAAGCTCAGACGAATCGAAAATACGTGAGAAAGACTATACAATGATAAGGGATTAAGTTGTCGTACCCGAAATTATTGAAATGGATTTAGGTTTGCCCAAATAAGCATGATCCTTTGAGTTCGACATTTTTATCCCTTTCATAGCAAAATTTCTAGTCGTTCATCTGAGGATTTCCATACTCTAATATTTAAAATGGTACAGATTACTTAATAATTACAAATGTACACTTTCGCAAAAGCTGGTATCAATTATATATCTCCCAAGTATACATCGACCAGCGAAATGATTACCAAAACTTCCGAGTCTAATCTTTAACGAATAGCCGAGACTATAATTTATGAACGATCCAATCAGATTTACGATCTAATTGCTAACCCTAATCAATTGTAAATCATAATCCTTATTCTTCAAACTGCTTTATAACCCCCATTTACTAAGTAAGTAGACACTCCCAAGGTCACTTTGGCGTCCCTCAAAGGTCGTTCATAAATTAAAATCTCACAAATATTAGTTTTTTTTCAGATTAATGTTGTACTTTTAAGTTGCTTAGAAAATCTACTCAACACTTTAATTTTGTAATGACATAAAGTACTTTAACCTAAAAAAAACAATTATTCTATTATCATACACATAGTTCCCTTTATTATCTTAAAGAGAGCAAGAACAAAGATTGCTATCAAACGTCTAAAACCAGATCTACGTATACAAAAAGAGACAGTAATAAACCTTTCTTTACCCTGGTAACAATAGCCCTCTTTTTATTCATTTATTTCTACTTATTTATTTATTGCAGCATTACTCCAACTCTTTTAGATTACATCATACATAAATGATTGATTTCAATCTTCGCTACACCATGATATATTTATTCGTCTTTAATCACTCTCATATGTATATGTCAATATCTGTAATAATTTTGAATTTCAAATATTTTAGGTTGTAAGAAGCTGATGAGAACCTAATGAAATAAAATGAATTCGCATTATTCTGCATCAATCTTCGTTCTTGCCCTCTTATTCTATTTTCAGAAAGGGTTTTGTGGATATTATAATAACTTTAATAGTTGAGATCTTAAGTCAATTGAAGCTAAATCAATTTCACTCAATTTCGTGGATTAGTTGAAGTTGGACATTAACACCGTTGGATGCCGGACGGCTCAGTAATCTAATGGTTAAGCTGGTTCGAATCTCGAGAGACGGGATCGTGGATGCGTACTGCTGAGGAGTCCCACAATGGGACGAAACGGCCGTCCAGTGCTTCTAGGTTTTCTATGGTGGTCTAGCTTCAATTGACTCATAGTCTCAACTACTAAAATTATTCTATTTCCCGTTTTTTTTCTTTGCTTTTATTGTTTTCTTAATGTAAATCGTCATGTTACACTTGGTAAATCTTACATTCTGTATGTGTTTTATAATCTTACCTACTTACCTCCTTCACCTCATATGTTCAGTTGAAAATTATGCAATAATGTTGCAGTGAGAAATAATATGGTCCCTGGTTAGTGTACTCTATTTATCTTCAATGAGTGCGCGATATATTGCTCTATCATAAAAACATCATAAGAACAACAATTTCTGGATAGTTTCTTAAAGAGTCAGCTAATTGTGACCTCAATGACTGTTACAAGTGATAAGTCTGTTTATGTTATATGAAGTACGTGAAGAGAATAACTTTGCCAAATAAAGAATGAAATCACCTTCGTATTCATCACAGTCACTCAGTAATTATGTTAAATAAATCTTGATAAACAATTCCAAATAATCGTCGTTATTTAACAGGTCAAGTGAAAACCATGATCATTGCTATATGAGATTGTACCACTACATTTTTGGACAAACACGATGAGGATGAATTTCAGTTGACTGTATTGAGGAGTACTTCAATAATAAAGTCGTAAAAACAGTGTTCCAGAAATCTTTCAAACTACAATCAAATATAATATTGATTTAGGAGGTTATTGAATACGTACTGTTCAGATGAATCATTTTGATTCTTTTGAAAGTACCGCTCTGTATATTTTTGTTACTCTGTAACATGAAACCAATATTCGCTACTGAAATTTACGAGGAACTATTACCGGTTTGCTGATAAACCATTTTTAGCCATTTTATAAGATTAGAAATGAGTGATTAAATCTTATATTCACTTGGTTTGTTTTAAGCAATCTAGGTACAAATTTTTTAATCACAATAAAAAATTTGATCATAGAAATGAGAAACGAACCCACCTTACATATGGTACGACTGGTGAAATATGGTCATTGGAAATCGCGATCAGATACCTTAGATTCGGAATTAAATTAAGATCAATTTTATAAATGAGTGTACAAATTAAAAAACTTAATAATAAGCAGTTATAGTTAAATGATACTGTTTATATAAAAAAAACCAAGGAATATCGGATAGCAGGTTTATTTTTGTGTGGGACTCATGGATGATAATCCGCTTCATGCATTTAATATTCTCGAATCATGTATATAAACAAGGCTGTCTTGTTGTTCAACGTTTGCATTCATTCGTAAAACCTATTTTATTATAAACCTATTAGTCGATCGAAAACAGTATAATTCTAATGAATAGATCATATGGGTTCTGTTTAAGATAGATTGAAATATATACAAAAGCCTGTTAAACACAGGTAATCTTCAGGATACCCCACTACATAGACAAGTTTGCATTCATGAATACTATGCTAGGATATCTGCATGTTTTTCATTAATTGGTTTATTCTCATTCTGGTATATAATTATTATTACGTTCATATGAATTTTATTGAATCATTGGTCTCTCTTTACTTCAAACAGTACTGAAAACCAAATCTATCTGAGTGTATTCAGAAGAAGAACACGATTCCAATGTGATATCAACCTAATATTTTCTGTGTGTTTTACTGCTTTTTCATGAAGGATCATTCCTAATACACCTCCAAAAAATTATTTCCATAATTTTCTAATCGAATTTCCATAGATCGTTATTTTGATCCCGACTGTAAACTAATGATGTATGTTCCGTGTCATAAGCTTCTAACATTGATTTACTGTTTGCATTATTCATTTGGTTACCTGATAAGTTTTCATTTCGGGTATTTACACAATACTAATTGACCTCTGCAAAGTATACGCTTGCATAATTCCCTAAACATTATAGTAAATCTGTGAACATTTGCATTGTTTTATAATGGTCATTATCACCTTATCCACTTCTGATACATTAACATCCACTCTGATTCCGAATAAACGTTTTCAATTGTGACCTATTGAGAAATTGCAGAAAATATGTGTATGATATGTATGTGTCTTGGCATTTATCGAAATATGGATGTTTGACGTTTTATCAGAGTTGTGAGTCTTAAAATTTCTATTTAATTTTACAAGTAACCAAATGTAAGTGTTGAGGTTACAACACAAAAATTATACTTACGTGGTTGGCAGCCAGAATAATGCGTGTATAACGGCGAAAAATGGTAGTTTGTACCAAGCGAAACGACACAGAGCCATTGAGAGGAATATTTTCTGCAAGCAATAATAGCAGAGTATATACGTATTAATGTTAGACTGGGAGACTTGAAGTTGTAGGTGGAGCAATTTTTTCAGTCAGTAATGTGAGAAAATAACTTATTTTGTTCTAATTCTCTCTTATTTGAAGAAACTAGTTACTAACAACGAAATTTATTATGAATTCACTATGTTCATTGAACAAGGTTCACTTCAATGAAACGGAAAAACCTATTGTTAATTCTACATGTGATAATCTCTAGTCAAATGGATGAATGTTGTGTCACTAAAAGACCTAGAAGGTACATTTCATAAGTGTATAAAACAAATAATTAATCCTTCAATCTAGAAGTCTTGATGAACAATAATATAAGAAAACTGTGTACATAGCTTTAGAGAAGATATGAATTTAATCTCCTCAGGATGCATTAATTGTCAAATAACTTAATTACTTACTTGCGCCTGTTACTCATCGTCGTGTAGGAGGATAGGCGACCCATTAACATTCTCCATAGAACTATGACCTCGACAATCCTTTCCAGTTCTTTCCTTTTTCTATTCATCCTTTTCATGTATGTTTCCAATAGCCAGCACACTGTGTCTTGATCTTCCTCTTTTCCGTCTCCTTTCACGATTCCAAGTTAGCAATTGTCTCGTGATGCAGTTTGATGATTTTCTTAATGTATGTCCTATCCGCTTCTAACGTCCTTTCTTAATTTCCACTTCAACTGGAAGTTGGTTTGTGTTCTTACACAGTAGTCTGTTGCTGATCGCATCCAACAAACAGACATTGGGTATAATGTGTAGAAAATTGGTTATAAACATCTATACTGTTTTAATGATGGTCGTACTAGTTTTCCTAATTCCAGCTCCACACAACTGAAATGCATTGATGTTCGTAATAAAGATTGTGACTTTGATGTTGGTTCGCAGACAGTTGTTTTGAGCTTCACATGTTTTTCAACTGCAGGAATGCTGTGATTGCTTAACTAATCCTTACCTACACATCTGCATCGGATCCTCGTGGTTGATCTATGATGCTGCTCTACTCAGGTACGTGAACGTTTCAACCACTTCCAGAGTATCTCCATCACGTGTAAATAGTTTGGTTGGTGTCCTCCATGTTGTATTCCAGGATCTTGCTTTACCCCTTGTGTAGGTTAAGGCCTGCTGATGAAGAAACTGCTGCTACACTATTTGTCTTGACCTGCATTTGTTGATTTGTATGGGATAGATAGGCCAGGTCATCTGAGAAGTTCAAGTCATCTAGTTGCATCCAACCTATCCATTTTATTCCGTGGTTCTTCCCAGGTGTAAAAGTCTTCATAATTCAGTCAACCACCAGAGAAAAGAGAAAGGGGAGGTTAGGAAGCCTTGCATGACTCTGTTAATAGTGTGTGATGCCTGTGTATTTCGCACATTTGCTAAGATCTTCTTTCTTTAATATCTCGATGAGATATCCTTCATTTCAGTCTGTCTGTTGGTACTTGTTCTTCCATCCAAATCTTCCTCAATAGAACACGGAGCATGTTTGCAGGTACTTCTATATCTGACTTCGGTGCATCGGCTCATATATTGTCTGGTCCAACTACTGCTTTCCCACTACTGAGTTTTTCAATGACCGGCCATCTTGATTTCTTCGGTTAATGGCGGAGTGGCATCTATAGGAATGTTTGTGTGTGCTTCTTCGATGTTGGGTGGGTTGCGTGATACTGGTCAATTTAAGGGTTTCTCGAAGTGCTCTACCCATCCGTTCATCTGTCTTTGGATCTCGGTGAGCGTATGTGTGCCCACTGCTTTTCCTACTCAGCGTATGTCTGTAGCTCATTTTCGTTCTGACTTTAGATATCTATTCACGCTTGGTTAAGTCGAGTCGGCCCACTCACCTTTTCCACTGCGCGGCATTTCGTTTCACTTCGCTCTCTCTTCTTCGCTTTACCTCTTCTTATTCTGAATCTCCATCTGGATAATCGAATGTCGGAAATAAATTCGTCCAACGCTACCTGTATTTGGCTGCTTATTACCGCAGTCAAACAAACGCGGTCAGCCTGAATAGTATACGGAATAAATGGAAAATTTATATTCATAGCATATTCATACATTCATCCAAATAGGAGTCAAATCAGTCGGCACCAAAAAAGCTGTTTCTCCCCTTGTCCATTGCTTCTTTAGCTTCAGTTTCATCTTGGCAACCACCAGGTGGAAATCTGAAGCTATATCAGCCACTCTGTTGGTTCTCGTATCTCCCATCGACCTTCGGAATTTTTTAGTGATGCAAATATGAATTGTATGCATTAATGTATTCATCTTTATAACTATAAATTGCCTTTTTTCAAAATTCAAGCTAGTTTACTACCTTTAATTGTCCTCCGGTTTGTCGTCTCTGATCTATTTATTAAGAGATTGATAATAACCAATAACCACTATTATAAAAGCATATATGTCAGGAAAGATTGTGCTCGAATTTCAAACTAGCAGAAAACAACCCTACTCTAGAAACATAATACACTTCAAAGTACTATGTGGTATCAGATACTGAAGTACGTTGACGAAACAATAAACTGTTTCGTTCAGCAAGTGACTGTTCTACAAAATGAATATCTTTAACCGCACTTGTATTTCATTTGATCATGTGTTGAGGCACGAAAAACTAATTCATCAGTTTGAATTCCCAATACAGTGATTCCAGTAACATTTGGTATCACAAGATCGATTAGGAAAAGTGTTAACCGATTACAATAATACATTACCATTTAGATGTGAATACGAGCGAAAAAACTACCTGAAATAGGTCAAATTTCCAATTCAGTGTAAACAGAAAACAGTAATTCACACGAGTATCATGAACAAAACAAGACTAAAACTATTTGGAGGTGTGAAATTCACTGTATTTATCTTATCTGTACATGGATTCCGTCAGTTCTCTTTTCCTATCAATCAAAAACGTAGATTCGAAGACCTGACAGTGTTTGAGCATTAGAAACTTTTTAATCCGTTTGATTCTTATTAATACTTTCAAGTGATAGATGGTTTTGAGACACATTCGACGTGCATCGTTGATGTGGGTGCTGAATTGAGGACACAAAGTGATGTAGACTGTAACTTAGGATGAAATTTCTTTTCAACAGATGATGTGACTTATTTCAAGAACGAAAGAGTGGTATATACTTTCAGTTGTACGATTGCACTTTGATTATACCAGGTATAGTTTTAGAAGAATAACATACAGATTGCACTTAAATTTGTTTAATGTTCGAACAAATGTGGTTCCATATTAGTGAAAAAAAATAATTTACATCGTTCTAATAAACATGACTTACCGTGAGTTGATCTAAAAATTATAGTCGTTGAGTTTGTCTACAAAAACTTTGATTGAATTGAAACATTCTACTAGTTTCAATAACGCATAGTATGGGGTGTGAAATGATTGAAATTGGTTTTAGTTTTATGTATTAATAATGTTAATAATAATGATAAGAATGCACACATATCGACAGGATTGTATTTGTATATATATGTTTTCATGTATTGATCAGAACAATGTTTAATCAACTAGTTAAATCAACCAGTCGTAAACAATTATTAAACTTGTTTAGTGAAAAATTCTACTTACAGCCTACAAAAGAAATCACGTATGAACTAGTACATCTGAATACTCATGTAATTGAATTTCATGCATTTGAAATTGACACGTTTTGCACATATTGACATTTCATGACTGATCGTCACTTATTATGAATTTGTCACCAATTGTCATGTCTAGTCGTCACTAAGTGTTATGTTGGGTTCACTTATTACTTATACTTGTAAAACGAGGTACCACTGCAATCCCAACAAAGTGAAGTAAGAACGACAAGACTGGTACAAGTGAAGGTTTATTAAACCCAAAACACGACGACCCTAGTCGAAAATATACTCATTTATATATTGATTTGTACACCCATTTTAATTAATAATTAGGATAAAATCACGTGTATGAAAGATACCCAGAGTTATAACAAATCACAAGCTCAGTGTCATGCTGAGCATAGTTCGTTTGAATTTAATACAAGAATATCGAATATTGAATAAAACATCACACTCAAACAAATTAATTTTACACCTAATAAAATGTTACACTGGAAAACGGACACAAATCCCACACTGAATAATTATCATATTGAATGTTGAACAAAAAAGTCACATTGAGTAAGAAAAAAGAAGTAAGTTTGTTTTTTAATCCCATCCTATCATAAAGTATTGCTAAGTATTCAATATGTTATTGTTCACTAGTTTAATTAGTATAGTTCCGATCCGTATAAATACATAGTTCAACATGAAAAAGGTGTTTGTAAACGGTGATCGCGGGCTGCCTTTTATCAGCTGTAGTCAATTTTATTCATAAACACCAAATAATACTGAATAATAATTCTCTTATTTGAATATTAAGCATTTTAAATACTCTTACTATGAAAGTACATATTTTCATTGATTGACAATTAATAGTTAGAGAGAAATGATAAGAATTCCGTTAAGTATAGACGAGTAACTCATAATATCTAGATACTTAAAATAACCCATAGTGTCATTGAATAAGAAAAAGAGAATTCAGCGAAGAAAATTTTCTTTTCGACGAAATCATTTACTTAAGCTGTACATTCGTATATATAGTTATATGGAAAATGTATGTCTATAGAAGGATAGAAAGGATTGTATCACGAAAAATGGATTCGACAATAAATAACAAATGAGGTTAACGTACTAATCAAGGGGTAAGGAAGAACAAAATTTAAGGGTCAGATGATAGTCCAATTGACAGATTGACAGATATGAAGAAAAACGACAAAACAACAAAGGTCATAATAATAAACTGAATGATAATCAAGAAAACTTGTAAAAGGTAATAATAATAAATGATTAAAGTTTAAAGTGCAAAATAGTAATTTAAAAATATGGATAATAATAAAAGTACATTAGAAAAAAAAAAAAAACACCTAGCAACATACCCATTAGGGCCAAGGAAGGATAAGAGGTTGGACAAATCGTTTCTGCACACAAAGTTCAGGCTTCAGTTTGTGGATTGCCAATGCCTCTGCGGTGCATAAAATATTGATTCGAACCCCCTTCGATCCAGTTCCTTTGACTCTGTAAACTATTTTAAACGAAGAGTCTTTTGGAGCGATATGTCCACAGTTGATTAAGTGCTCCTGTATAGAACTCGTGATTGTTTTTCGCTCTCCTTTCAAAAGCCAAGCCGGATAATGTTCCGAGATGCGTTTGGATAATGATCGCTTTGTGCGGCCTATGTAACGTGCCCCACATGAGCAAGTAAATTTATAGATACACATTGAAGTGGCCCAAAGCGAAAGTTTGTCCTTTACGCACCCCAGAATGGTAGGTCGGCTAGAGAAGATGATTCGAAGTTTAGCTGCGTGGAATGTTTTATTCATTGATTTCGAAATCCGTTTATTTAGGATTTCAGCAGCTGTATCTCCCTTAAATTCCATATTCATAAATAGAGTTTTTTTCTCTACTGTCAATGCTTTGTCATGGGGTCTAGGTACCAAGTTTCTATCGATGAATCTCGGTGGATAACCGTTTTTGATGAGGGTCTGTCGAAGATAAAATAGTTCCCCATCTATTGTGTCGTTGGAACAAATTCGCCTGATCCTTGAGGATAAAGAATGAATTAAGTTCCTTTTTCTAATTAATGGAACCCAACTGTGGAAGTTCGTGTATTGTCCATTCCAAGTGGGTTTTCTGTATATCGATCTCTGTAATAAACCGTCAGGCATTCTTTTTAAATGGATATCAAGAAAATGAAATTCGTTGTTTGTCTCTGCTTCTAAGGTGAATTGGATTGATGGGTGACAGTTATTGAAAATATTCAAAATATCATTGAGGTCACTGTCTTCTTCGCAAATAATGAAAGTGTCATCCATATATCTTTTATATAAATGAAATCTTTCAATTGTTGGTCGAAGTACTGAATTTTCTAGGTTCGCCATAAAACAATCAGCCAGAAGAGGACCCAATGGAGAGCCCATTGCAACTCCATCTATTTGTTTATAGAAAATATCATTAAATCTAAATTGCACGTTGAGCGTACATCTTAGAAGTAGTTCTTTAAGGTAATGTATCGGGATACGCATATCAAGATTATTATTTTCAATATAGTCACATAAAAAGCAAATGGTTTCTGTGAGGGGAACATTTGTGAAAAGAGAAGTGACGTCTAATGAGAACATTTTTTTACCGGATACATTGATATTTCTAATGGAGTCAACAAAGTCAAAGGAATCAAGAGAATTGTGTTTATTGATATGATTTTTGACAGGTTGTAGAATGTTAACTAACCATTTAGCGATTAAGTGATAGGGAGAATTGTTCATATCCAGTATAGGACGTAGTGGGTTATTATTCTTATGAACTTTTGGTAGTCCATATAGTCTTGGTACAACAGAACCAGATGGTTTGAGGTGTTCATAGAGGTCATGATTGATAATATCCTCATCTTTCATTTTCTTCAAAATTTTAATTAGCATTTGTTCAGTTTTTTCAGTAGTGTCTTTTTGAACGTTCTCAATAGAGAATTTGACAGGATCAGATAATATTGAAGATATTTTTGTAACATAGTCAATACGATCCATAAGAACAATTCCTGCACCCTTGTCTGGGCGGCATAAAACTAAGTCCTGATTTCTCCGCAGATCAGATAATTGAGATTTATGTTCTTTTGTGAGTAATCGGCTAATTGTTGGTATTTTATTAACATATTGATTACAACAGTCCACAAGAGTTGTTTTAAAATGCTCAAAATCTTCATTAGACACTGGAGTAAGGTCATTTGTCTGTCGCATGAGGCCTTCAAACTGGATTTTCGCGTTGAGTTCATTAATGTTAGTGGAAGTGCTACAAAATTTAGGACCAAGGGATAATGCTTGTAGCTGAATAGTCGATCCTTGCAATTTTTCAGATAATTAAAATAACCCATAGTGTCATTGAATAAGAAAAAGAGAATTCAGCGAAGAAAATTTTCTTTTCGACGAAATCATTTACTTAAGCTGTACATAATATCTACTAGTTAGAATCAGTTTTCTAACTACAACTACAAAATTTTCATAGTCGGTAGTAATATTCGAATTGTTGTTCAATTACAAAATTAAGAAGTTATAAAATCAGTTCTATTTATGTTTATCAAATCTGAATTTGAAGGCTACCCCTACTCTTGACTAATAATGCTCCAACTATGAAAACTGAGCACCGACTTGAAATAAGCAACTAATAACATCGATTGACAGTGTTACTCTCAAATGCATCTGGATTAGAGTATACAATGTATTTCTATATTTATTTCGGTGCAGTCAATTTGGAGACAACAAAAATTATTCTAGGCTTTTAAATGCCTGGATTCCGAGAAAACTGACATAACATTAGGATTCATGCACTGGAGGTGGAATACCTACTTTTTTATGTATGTATAGAGAGATGATTATTTGTATTATCTGTCCTTTTAGTAGCAGGATAAACCACATGAGCTTAATTATTCCGTTGTCACACATTTGCATGAAGTGTATAATATTATTAATCATTCAAACTGTGTGCTACAACTCTTTTTTCTATTTTCAAAATGCATGAAAACACTTCTGGTCAATCAAAAGTATTTTGCTGATGAATCGTTCCGTCAAGCGGGATTAATGGCAATGTGATTACCGTAAATTATAATCTTGGAATTCATATTATTTTTACTAACTTCTAAAAGTATATTTATTGTCCTTGATGGAATCTTGCAATAACATCTATATGCCTACTGTGTATCTGATTTATAGTGAACCTTGAAATTGGGCTGCTCCACGAGTGTGGTGATCAACTGAATTATGAAGATCTTCACATCTGAGGAGAACCACGGAATACAATGAACAGTTTGGAATCAATTTGAAGATTTGGACCTCACAGATAACCTGGTCCTTCTACCACTTACACATCAACACATCCAGATGAAGACAACCGATGTGGCAGAAGTATATACATCAGTGAGCCTCAACATACACAAAATAAAATGAAAGATCCTAAAATACACCACGGAGAACACCAAACAAACCAATCACACTTGTTGGAGAAGCTCTGGAAGATGTGGAGTCTTCCACGTAGCTGTGAAGCATCATCGATGAACAAGGAAGGTCCGATATAGATGTAAATGCGAGGATTGACGAAGCAAAGGCCGCATTCCTATCATTGAAGAAAAAATGGAACTCAAAAAAACTATCTGCAAGCCAACATCAAATTCACAATCTTCAATATGAATGTCAACACAATTCTACCATACTGAGCTGAAACCTCGAGAACTACCACAACAGTTGTCGAACATTTACAAGTATTTATAAACAATCATCTACTCGAGATAATCAATATCTCTTTGTCGGGTGCCATCAGCAAGAGTGTATTGCGGAAGAGAACAAACCAACTTCCAAATGAGGAGGAAATTAGGAAAGGATGGTGACGTTGATAAGAAATCATCAGACTGCATCTCTAGACAAGCATTAACTTGGAATTGTGGAGGGAAACGAAAAAGTATTAGGCCGAAGAACACACTATGTCGGCTATTGGAAACAGATATGTTAAGGATGAATGGCAACTGGAAAGAAATGGAAAGGATTGTCCAGGTCATAGTTGAATGGAGAGTTCTAGTGGACGGCCTATTCTCCTTCATGAGGGGTAACAGGTGAAGGTAAGTAATAAGTAGTAAACTTTCAGATGAGATAAACAGTAAGTGAAACTTATATATGATTTGAAATATTTGACCATCAAATCTAAAAGTTTTCCGACATTGTAAACTGTATTGAAATCTATGAAGTCATATGCCAGAATTTGTTTTTCATATATTTTCATCCGGTTTAATTAAACTTCCAAATTGGAAATCTGTAACAATACATTATCAAACTCTTACCAAATCATCTGTTTCACTTCTTCATTGCATTCATTTATGAAAACTGTGTTAATGTTAAATTAATCACATGATGTTTTAGAAAATACCAAATTGTTTAAAT